CTACATTTTGAGAACCATCTTGCTCTAGAGCAGCCTGTCCAATAGAAATATACTATGAACCATATATATAATTTAACTTCTTCTAGTAGCTACATAAAAACATAAAACAGGTGAAATTATTTTTAAAGTATTTTTACTTAACCTGATATATCCAAAATATTATCATTCCAACATGCAATCAATACAAAAATTGTTCATGAGATATTTCACTTTTTTTGGTTTGTACTAAGTCTTCAACACCTGGTGCATATTTTTTTTTTTTTTTTTTTTTCTTGCGTGATCATAGTGTGGCCTTTCCCGTTGCCGGACGCGCAAGCTCAGCGGCCATGGCTCACGGGCCCAGCCGCTCCACGGCATGTGGGATCCTCCCGGACCGGGGCACGAACCCGTATCCCCTGCATCGGCAGGCGGACTCTCAACCACTGCGCCACACCTGGTGCATATTTTAAACTTACAGCACATCTCTGTTTGGACAGGCCACATTTCAAGTGCTTAATAGCCACATGTGGGTAGTGACTGCCATATGAGACAGCTCTAGGGCTTTGCTACTGTGGTCCATAGACCAGCAGTTTAAATTATTTCTAGCCCCTAACAGAGGGCTGGCATCTAGAAGGCACATAGCAAATGTTTTGGGAGGAAAGGAAGGAATGCATGAATCTTACGTGCCCCTGTCCACTTCTCTGGGCACCACCATCCCTATGCACTGTTAGTGAGAATCTCAGAATCTTATGTCTGAAAAGGAATTCAGGAGTCAGAGAACAAATGTATGTCAGAGCTGATAAGAAACTTAAAGTTTCTTTTTTTTTATAACTTTTTTTAAAAGGCTTACCATTTATTTATATATATATATTGTATATATTTTGGCTGAGTCAGGTCTTAGTTGTGGCACGCGGGGTCTTCGTTGAGGCATGCGGGATCTGTCATTGCAGCACAGGGGCTCTTCATTGCGGCATGTGGGCTTCTCTTTGGTTGTGGCGCACGAGTTCTTCTCTCTCTAGCTGTGGCGCATGAGCTCCATGGCTCATGGGCTCTGTAGTTTGCAGCATGCGGGCTCTCTTGTTGAGGCAGGTGAGTTCAGTAGTTTTGGCGCGCGGGCTCAGTAGTTGTGGTGCGCGGGCTTATCTGCCCCGCAGCATGTGGGATCTTAGTTCCCCGACCAGGGATCAAACCCGTGTCCCCTGCATTGGAAGGTGGATTCTTTATCACTGGACCACCAGGGAAACCCCAGAAACTTAAAGTTTCTGTATCCTAACTCCTGCCAGCCCCAAAGAGATAGGGCAATTTGGGTAAGTCCCTCAGCTTGCTGGACACAGCAAGCCACTTTCTTTCAGGAGAAAAGGGATCTGATGAGAGCAAATCACTCTACATGGGGCATGAGCTGGGCCTGCCTTTCTCCTCATCATCTCTGTGTTCTTCCTCAGAAATCCTATGAAGCTGCTGTTCCAAGGCCTCAGGCCTGGCCTTCAACGTATTAATTATATCCATGTATTTATCTTCAATCTTCTTCCAGAAAAGATTTAAGGAACCTGTAAATTTGCATAGGTTTCAATGAGATGAAACAAAAAATAGAAAAAAATGTTAAGAAAGGTTCATAGGTACATGGAAAGGGTGTTCACTCTGATATTACATGTAGTAGCGAATATCCAACAGTAGAGAGCAGGTAAATCAACCATGACCCATTCAAACCTTGAAACATTCTGCCTCACAATTAAGAATGCTGATATGGATCAGTGGCTGTTCACTGACCACAGAAGGAACTAAATCTTTGGGGGATGACATACAAGGCTCCCCACAATTCATCCCAACCCATCTTTGTAGCTTGGTCTTCCACAAGTCCCCCCAACTCTCCACACTGAAGCTCTTATGTTTCCTAAGCAGGAGAACATCTCACATATTTGTGGTTTTATATAAGCTGTTCTTGAGTTTCAAATGCTTTCTTCATCCAGTCTCCTGGTGAATTCATATCCATTCCTTAAAATCAACTTCAAGTGTCACGTCCTCTGTGAAGTCTGCCCAGATATTCTCAGGCAGAGTTGGACATTCACCTTGCCTAGAACTCCCTGCTAGTTTGGCATCTATCATAAGTCATTAGTATTACTTGCTCATGACTCTGCCTCCTGCCTCAGTTCGTGACTACCCCAGGGGCAATGGCTTTGCCTAATTCATCTTTCATTCCCTTTGAGATGAGATGTGGGACAGGAAGCAAATGTTCCTTGAAAGAATGGATAATGAATTAATGAACAGACCCCTCTTGTGGCACCTATCTCTTTCTACCTTGTATTGTCTTTGTTTGGATTCCTCATCTCTGTTCCTGGATTGACAAATCTTCCAGGACAAGAACAGTGTGATCCATTTTTGCATTCTCTACCACAGCCTGCCCTACTGCCTACTGTTTGAATAAATGAGCAAAACTCTAGTTACTTCCGATACGGAAGTAGTCACTGACGTGGGACAATGTCATTACACACTGTAATGAGAGTACTTGCTGAGCTTATTTTATCTACATGCATGTAAGAACATCTGGAAAGGATATATATCCCAAATATTAATGCTTCTTTTTCAGGGGGAAGGATTATGAGTGATTCTTGCTCTCCTTTTGACCACCTACTGCTTCTGTAATTTCTAGTTTTTCCCCTCAATGAACATGAATTACTTATGTAATATAGAAATAAAATTTACAAAATAGAATATGGGTGAGGAAAATGGGGAGAGGAGAAAATAAGAGTTTTACTCCATGTAGAATTTATTTGAAAATCTATTGATTAAAAAAAATCCTGGGCTTCGCTGGTGGCACAGTGGTTGAGAGTCTGCCTGCCGATGCAGGGGACACAGGATCGTGCCCCGGTCTGGGAGGATCCCACATGCCGCGGAGCGGCTGGGCCCATGGCCACTGAGCCTCCGCGTCCAGAGCCTGTGCTTCGCAACAGGAGAGGCCACAACAGTGAGAGGCCCGCGTACCACAAAAAATAAAGAAATCTAAGTATAGGTTTATAGTGTCATGGCCCATTGTCCATATTTACACATAGCAGGCAATTATTAAAGGTTGGAGAGGTGGACTTATAACATTGGGGTTTGAAAACTCACGAGCCAGCTTTTGTTAAATCTTAGACTGTGTTCAGGGAAGTGAAAGTTAATAACAGTGCAGTCACTGTCTTGTTTTGAATGGAATCTGACAATGACCCGCCCTTCACGTGTGGGCTGTAAATTGCTTGTGTATGTTGGATCTTGATTGTGCAAGAGAGGATCCTAAAATCATGCTGTAGAGCTGGGTGAGTGCGTGGGTAGATGGGAAAATGCACACGTACATACACTACACGTGTCAAATCTAGCGTAGGACCACATTTCACCACCTCCAAGGCAGCACTTTGGTCCAAGCCAACAAACAGGCTCCTGACTGGTGTCCCTGCTTCCTCGCTGTGGCCCAGTCACTTCCCTGTAGTTCGAGCCATCCTCTCCATGATCCGGGCCCCACCTGGATCTCAGTGCCTATACCTCGGCCCCTGCTCACTCGACTCCAGCCTCCACTCCACTGGCCCTTCCCCTGCCTGGAACGTTCTCCCCCCTCCACTGTGGCTCACTTCCTTACCTCCTGCCGGTCTCTGCCGAATTGCCATTGATTTGTGAGGCCTTCCACACCACTCTGTATAAAATAACTGTTCCTTCCTGTTCTGCGCCACCACCTCATCCTACTTCATTTTTCTTCATAGCATGTATCCCCCCAACACAGTACATATTTGTTTACTGTGTGTCTCCCCCCAACTAGAATGTAAACTCCCTGAGGGCAGGGACTTCGTCTCTCCTCTTTACTGCTATTTTCTTAGTGCTCTAAGTAGACGCTCATATTTGTTTACTGTGTGTCTCCCCCCAACTAGAATGTAAACTCCCTGAGGGCAGGGACTTCTGTCTCTCCTCTTTACTGCTGTTTTCTTAGTGCTCTAAGTAGACACTCATATTTGTTTACTGTGTGTCTCCCCCCAACTAGAATGTAAACTCCCTGAGGGCAGGGACTTCGTCTCTTCTCGTTACTGCTATTTTCTTAGTGCTCTAAGTAGACGCTCAATAAGTGTTAATTAATATTCAGAAGAAGGAATGGACTGCAGATGTCATGTGACGGATCTTCCTCATTTTACTGATGAGGCGCCTGAAGCCCAACTTCAGAGAAAGCTTGCAGCCCGGCCCAGGGTCACACAGCTGGGTCCGCGGGGCTAGATCCCACTCTCCATTCTGCTCCACCTCCTGCCCACCCACTCCTTGGAAGGGAGGCTAACCACACACACGCACAGGGGCTGTGGCTTCGTCCATCCTGTCTCCTGTGTGTTTTTCCAGTTTATACAGAATTTCAGCCCAGAATAGCAGAAGAAAAAACAGCTGTTCTTCCAGAACCCTGGAAACTCTTCCAATGGGTCTGTCCCTGGAAAAACAGCAGCGGTCTCAGGGTGGGAAGGTAGGAAACGGAGGAGGGGGTCCTCCAGCAGTTGGGGGCAGTGGGCTGGATTTGGTTTTGCAATTAAAATAACATCTGGGTCTGTTTCCGCAGAGCGGTTCTGGAAGGTGGGTGGTCTGTCTGAAGCATCAGGTGGGGCCTTCCCCATCCTGGCCCCGGGGGGTATTAGGATGGCAGGTGACTGAAGGGCTCACCCAGCATATGACGTATGAAAACAACTGGGTCGGGAGAAGTCTCTGGAAACCCCATCTGCAGCCTGGCCTGAAATCTTGCTGGTCCCTACCCTGGCCTCACTCCGGGTCATCTCTGGACACCTCCCTCTACACCCTCAGGCCTCCTTGAGACTGTTCAGACTCCCCCTTTGATGCATAGAGAGCTGTGGCATCCTCCCACTCATGCCCCATGTGGTTTGTTAATTGTCTGTGAAATGAGGGATTTGAGGCGTTGCTCATCCGTGTGAGGACAGTGGGGCCCTGGAGCAGTGGAGCGGAGTGGGGAGGGGACGCTGAGGGCCGTTCCAGTCTTCTGAATCCTGTTCCTCTGTCTGGCTCCTCAGATGCAGCTTTTGGATAAGTTTCCCATCGAAGGTGGCCAGAAGGACCCCAAGCAGAGAATCATCCCCTTCCTCCCAGGTAAGCGTTTCACGGCCTCACTAATGGGATGGGGGACACCCTGAAGAGGGGCATTCTGTAGGCCAAGAAAAGGCTGACTTACTACACCAGAAATTCTGGGCCAGGTGGGCCTAGCAATCTGCATGTTAACAGCCCCCAGGGGATCAGAAGCCCCTGATTTTGAAGGCCATTGCCTTCATAGAGGCCTCTCCCACCCCTCCAGGGCCACCTCTGCTCACCCCGGGCTGTGTAGCTTAGGAGGAGTTTCTCAGGCTCTGGGACTTTGGTTTCCTTTTTACAAAAAGCATGGAGAGATCAAGTTCTCCTATGAAAGGATGAAAAACTGCAGGCTGAACTCTTTCCACTGGCTACCATTGTAATCACAGGTAACCTTTAAATCAAGCACACTTCCCCTCTCAACCTGCTCGAGTCCTCCTGGCACCATTATCCAGCTGAGGCTCTGACAGCTTAGGTAACATGGCCTGTGACTTGGCAGAGTTAGGATTTGATCCCGGGTCTGTCTGGTCATAAAGGCCATTAACCATCACACCATTTTGGAACATGTTTAAGGCAATTGATTATGTTGTGTAATCTAGAGGGAATCTTCTCAGGTGTGTCATAACCTACTATTACTGTGACATGTTCATTAGGTGTTGGAATTTATAGCTTACAAAGTGCTTTTTAATTTGTGATCGTATGCAAATCTCCACACTGAGGCATGCATTATGATTTCTGCTTGAGGGATAAAGATGTTGAGGTTCAGAGATGTTAAGTAACTGCCCATAAAAGTGGCAGAGCCGAGGTGTGAACTTGGTCTCCTGCTCCAAACTGGGCTCTTTGCCCTGACCCATGTGGGTGGTGCTGCTTCCTGGGTCTCCGCATCCCCTACCTGTCCCCAGGCTAGTGAGTTGGGCTGGTTCCCAGGGGACCTTCCCTCACAGTGGTCTTCACCCTCCATTTCTGCTGGTCCTGGGCCTTCCCGGACATCAGCTATCGGTGGGACCATCACAAGAAGCAGGTCTGCATCTCATTAATCCCTGGCATGCAGCCAGCGCATGGTTAGTACCTGCTTGTTGACTTGCAAACCTACCTACGGGCAGCGCCCCCCAGAGAGCGATTCTTCTCTGAAGGTACTCCTCGTGCCCCCCCATCCTCAAAAACAGTGAAAGACAAGAGAAGGCATTGCCGCCTGCCCTCCGAGTCTTATGCTAAAGTTGGAGAGAATCAATTTAGCTACAAAGAACTTCTAAATCCTCCAGTTCAGATAAGACCAGAATGAGTCAGTGAGGGTGTAGGG